TAGTTGACATACAATATTATACAACATCAGCTTCAGGTGTACAGTGCAGTGATCAAGCCTCTTCCCCATCCGTGATGCAAGACATGTGACCACCTGACACCCTACAAAATATTTACAACATTATTAATTATATTCCTTGAACTGTCTTTCATGTCCCTGTGGCAATATTGTAGTTGCGTATTTATGCCGTCTAACCCCTTCCCCTTCTCCCTCATCCCCACTCCCTCCTGAACTAGATTGTTAAAAATTATGATGCTAATTGTAATCCCAGAGCAACTACTCAAAATAAAAAAGGAAAGAAAAAAGTTAAAATGTAGTAAAAGAAACAACAAAGGAATTAAAATAGCACACTTGAAAATATCTATCAAACACAAAAGAAGGCAGTAATGGAGAAATAGGAGAACAAAAAAGACTTATACGAAACAAATAGCAGATGTAAATACTATATAATTAGTAATTAAATTAGACATAAATGGATTAAATAATCCAATACAGAGGTTGGCAGATTAAAAAAAAAACATTATTCAACTACATGCTGTCTACACGAGCCACACTTTAGATTCACAGATACAAAAAAGTTGAAATTAAGAGGATGGAAAAAAATATATCATGCAAACAATAACCAAAGGATATTTAGAGTGACCAGACAAACAGAATTTAAGACAAAAATTGTTAAGAGACAAAGAAAGACATTTTATAATGATAAAAGGGTCACTCCATCAGGAACACATAACAATTATAAACAAATGCATCAAGGAAATTAAAAAGTACAAACTGCCAGTTATAAAATTAGTCATAGGGATATAATGTACAGTATAGGGAATATAGTAAAAAATATCATAATAACTATGTATGTTGCCAGATGGGTACTAGACTTATCATGATGATCACTTAGTAAGGAATATAAATGTCTAATCACTATGTCATACATACACCTGAAGCTAATATAATATTGTATGTCAACTATAATTTAAAAAAGACATTAAGAAAAACAAACACACCTAACAACTGAGTCCCAAAATTAACTAAATAAAAACTGAGAAAGTTGAAGAGAAAAATACGTAATTCAACAATAACAACCGGATATTCAAATACCCCCCCCTACTAATAATGAATAGAATAAGTAGGCAGATCAGCAAGGAAATAAAAGACTTGTACAACACCACAAACCAGTTAAATATAACAGACATCTATAGAACATGTGAACAAAAAACAGAAGAATATACATTCTTCTCAAGTGCATGTGGAACATCATGCTAGGCCATTAAAAAAGGAACCGATAAATTTAAAAGAATTGAAATTATACAAAGTATATTCTCTGACCACAATGGAATGAAATTGAAAATCAATAAGAGAAAGACTTAGGAAATTCACATATTTGTGAATAAATTCACATAAAATAACACACTCCTAAATAAATGATGAGTCAAATAATAATTCACAAGAAAAGTTAGAAAATACTTTAAGATGAATAAAATTAAAATACAAAATATCAAAACTATGGAATGCAGCTAAAGCAGTACTTAAAGGGATGTTTAGAACTGTAAATGCCTATATTAAAAAAAAGAAAGATCTTAAATTAATAACCTAAATGCTACATTAAAAAGAATACAGGGCCGGCCGAGTGGCACATTGGTTAAGAGCTGGCTTGGGACACCAGAGTGCCCCGGTTCGGATCCCACATATGAGGGCCAGTGACACTGCCCTCTACAGGTAAGATGTTGAACAACAGCTCAACCTGGAGCTGGGCTGCTGTGAGTCACCGGCGATGGCGTAGGCTGCAGCCCCTGCTGCAGTGGGTTGCCATGGGCTACCGTGTGTAGCCAGCAGCCAGAGTGAGCTGTCCAGAAGCCGGCGACTGATCTGCCTCGCCCGGGAAGAGCGCAACGATGGTGCCAACTTGGGCCAGTGAAGCAATGTCCTCCACAACTAGACTGAAGAACAAAAGGACAGCAACTTGTCTGTTCCCCTTCCCCCAATTCCCCAGTGCTGTTCCCATCCCCCAATTCCCCAATAAAAATCTTTAAAAAAAAAGAATACAGAAAAGAGCAAAATAACCCAAAGCTAGTCAAAGGAAGGAAGTAATAAAGAGTAAAGCAAAAATAAATGGAATAGAGGATAGAAAGCAATACAGAAAATCAATGAAACCAAAAGTTGGTTCTTTGAAAAGATCAACAAAACTGATAAACCCTTAGCCAGATTAATCAAGGGAAACAAAGAGAATCAGGGATAAAAGAGGAGCCATCATTATTGTCCTTATGGAAATAAAAATCAGTATAAGAAAATACTATGAACAATTGGGTGCCATTAAGTTAGATAACATACATGAAATGAACAAATTCCTAGAAAGGCACATATTACCAAAGACAGTGCAAAAAGAAACAAAAATCTAAACATACTTATAACAAGTAAAGAGATAAATTAGTAATTTTAAAACTTCCCACAAAGAAAAGTTCAGGCCCAGAAGGCCTATGTGGCGCATTCTACCAAATGTTTAAAGAATAATTAATACCAATCATTCATAAACTTTTCCCAAAAATGAAGAGGAGGGAACACTTCCTAACTTATTCTACAAGACTAGTATTACTCTGAATCAAAACCAGACAAAGACATAACAAAAAAGAAAACTACAGAGCAATATCCCTTTTGAATAAAGACATAAGCCTCCTGAACAAAATATTAGCAAACTGAATCCAGCAACATGTGGGATTTAGTGTCCAGCTTTTTGACAATGATGCGAAGACTATTCAATGGGATAAATGACAACCCAAAGAAGAGTCTTTTCAAAATATGATGCTGGGACACAACTGGATAATCACATGCAAAAAAACCCCCAAACCAAACCATATATTAAGTTGAACCTTTATTTTTCTACACCACATATAAAAATTAACTCAGCATAAAAAGATAGGCAACAAGAAAAAGTAGATAAAGTGAATCACAACAAAATTAAAAACTGTGCATCAAAGGACAATCAGAGTGAAAAGGCAACCTACAGAATGGGAGAAAATATTTGCAAATCATATATCTGATAAGGGGCTAATCCAGAATATATAAAAAACTCCTTCAACTCTACAACAAAAAACATATAACCTGATTTTAAAATGGGCAAAACCACTTGAATAGACATTTCTCCAAAGGTGAGCTACAAATGACCAGGCATATGAAAAGTTGCTCAACATCACTAATCATTAGGGAAATACAAATCAAAGCTACAATGAGATATGAGAATGAGATATCACCTCACATCCACCAGGGTGGCTTCTATTTTTTAAAAAAATCCAACAGAAAATAACAAGTGTTGGCGAGGATGTGAAGAAATTGGAATCCTTGTACACTGTTGATAGGAACGTAAAATTGAGCAGCTGCTATGGAAAGCAGTATAACAGTTCCTCAAAAATTAAAAATAGAATTGCCACATGATTCAATTATTCCACTTCTGGGTATGTACTCAAAGGAATCGAAAGCAGGTTCCGGAAGAGATGTTTGTACACACATGTTTATAGCAGCATTCATCATAATAGCCAAGAGGTAGAAGAAACCCGTGTCTATTGATGAATAAATGAATAAAATGTGGTATATATATATATATATATATATATATATATATATATACACACAACAAAATATTATTCAGCTATAAAAAGGAATGAAATTCTGAAATATGGATACATGGATGAACTTTGAAGCTATTACCCAAAGTCAAAGAAGCCAGTCATAAAAGGACAAATACTGTATGATGTCGCTTATATAAGGCATCTAGAGTAGTCCAATTCATAGAGGACAGTAGAATGGCGGTTTCTAGGGACTTGGGAAAGGAGGAAATGGGGAGTTGTTGTTTAACAGAGTTTAAGTTTTACAAGATGAAAAAGTTCTGGAGGTTGGTTGCACAACAATATGAATATAGTACATTAAAAAATGGTTAAGATGGTAAATTTTATATAATGTGTATTTTACCACTATTTTTTAAAGGCTATAAAAATTGCTTAATTATGACTACAGAAATGTTAGATGGTGAGATATTATCATTTATTAGATTTGAGACAATTTTTCCCTGTGACCCTTGACTTCTGCACCCCAACTTCCACCTGTGTCCACCTGGCTGCTTATAAATTAACTTGATAGCTGTTATTTAAGCCTATGCAGTATGTGCCAGGCTTTTCCAGATATACTTCTCAACAATTTTCTGGTGAGTCAAGTAAAGCTCAGCAAGGTTTAGTGATATTTCCCAACGTTGTGCGAGGGAAGGAGCTATCATTGGGTCCCGTGGCTTGATCCTGAAGCCTGGGTTCTTCCCCACCACGCCTCATCTCCCTCAAGTTAGCTTTATTCTAACAACTACTTGGTATACCTCAAAAATTCAGGTTCCCCTAGATTTTGATGACTGTTGAATGTGTGCGTCCTGGAATGAGTAAATTCACAAATAAAGAGATGAAATAAAACAGATGACAGACTAATGGGGCCTTGAAGAGGGAGGGGTCTGAAAAAAAGGAAGACGGAAGGAGATTGCTAAGTGCAGGGCACATTTTGTGCTTGCCAGAGCTCTTACAGTCTATCCGGCATTGAGCATAGAGACCGTTGGGGACAGTCCAGGGGCCTGGAGCTGTTGCCAGCCTGGAGAGAGGCCAGTCCAGAAACAGCAGTGTGTACTCCCAGCAGCAAAGGAGACTCAGGCAAGATGCCCTAAGAAGTAGAGGGTGACAGGGGCACTGGGGAGACTTGGCAGGTTTGTGTATAGGGGAAGGGCCATATCTTTCTTTAGAAATATCACTCTGACTCCTGGGAGTAAGATGACTTGAAGGGGGAGAAACTGAAAGAGGGAAGACCTAGCCCCAAACACAGAGGTAAGGGAAGTGAATTCTAGAAAGGCTTTTGGAGGGACCCTTGCCAGGGCTCAGTAATCAACTGCATGTGGGGATGGTGAGGGGGAGGAATGGGTCTTCTTTATCAACTCTTAGGCTCTTTCGTGACAGGGCCCAAAGGAAGAGATCTGCAGGGCATGAGGGTGGGGTGAGGGACAGTCATGAACAAAGAAGGTGGCTGTCACTTTTGCCAGGTTCCTCCCATGACTCTTAGGTGCTTGTCTGGTTGGCTGCTCCAACATGGGAGACTTTTATGTTGTCACTCAGATTTTTGAGCAGTGAAGTGGGGATCTGGTGCATTAGTCCAGCTCCCAGAGAGAGCTGAGAAGGGGGTCATGATGGGGGTGGAGGTAAGAAATGACTTTCAAGAAATAGGGAAGAAAAGATTTTTGAGCTCCTTCTTTTGCTTGGCCCGCTCCAAACTCTGTGGAGTGTACTTTCTCTCCTAATAATGGGCCCTTGAGCCACTGCTTTCTGCTCGGGCCCTCTTCTGTTTCTTTGAAGTGTACTTTTTCTTCTAGTAAACTTCTGTTTCACCACTTTAAAAAAAAAAAGAAAGAAAAGAAATAGGGAAGGAAAAAGTCTGAGGGAGCAAAGCTGTTTGAAAACCACCACTCTGTACCATTTAACCAAACATGGTCCTGTGTGTTACATCACTTGATTTTTATGCTGATTTGGAGAACTCAGTAGAGCTGGGTTACTGCTTTCCCCAGGCTAACTGGGTTTCTAAGCTGGCATGGGAACCCAGGTGATCCAGGGCTTAATGGCAGAGCAATTGTTGGACGCAGGATAAGAGGAGTACAGCACGACATGAACTATCTAATTATTAACTTTTAAAGATAAAGTCCAGAGAGAAGGTGAGGGCATAAGGCATTTCATCCAATTTGGGACGACTCCCCTCGGGCCCACCTACAAACCCCAGATCCTCTTCTGAACCCTCCAAACCTAGGGTGAGAAAGCCCCTTTTGCCAGCCTCGTCTTCTTCAGCCTCGGGGAGCCTCAGGACCCCAGCACTGAAGAAACAGGGCCTGACCCCATCCTTCACTGAGGAGATTGGGACTGAGGCAGGGAGCTCTCTCCCCTCAGGCCGTGGTTTCCCTAACTACTGCTTCCTCTGCAGGGACAGAAAGACATGTCCTGGAAATTGACACCACCTCTGCTGCTTCTGGCCTGGATAGCCTCCATGTGCAGTGCCAGGGACAGGACAGACCTGCTCAACGTCTGCATGGACGCCAAACACCACAAGACAAAGCCAGGCCCCGAGGATAAGCTGCATGACCAGGTACAGTTGGACTGAGTGTGGCTCTGGTTGGGGAGGGGGCTGGTTCTGACAGGGAAGAGGAAGTTAGGGTGGTGGAGGAAGGGTTGGGGGGTGGGGTAGTTGAGGTGATTTTAGGGGTGACCTCCTCAGAAAAGGATACCATGTCAGCAATAATATGGAATATTCATTTATTGAACACCTACTAGGTGTCATGTATTTTCTATATATGACTTCATATTCCCAGTGGTCCTTTGAAGTAGGTAGATGATATTCTCCACATGACACAAATGAGGAAACTGAGGCCCAGAAGAGCATATGGACACACAGAGGAACTGGACACGACCAGTCCTTGTGGTGGGGTAGGGGTAGGACTGGGGTGGACACCTTCAGGGGTTTGGAGGGTGAGAGACTGAGGTAGGATAGTTCTTCCTACCTTTACTATGTGCCAGATGATGGAGTGCTGAGGGTAGTGGTGCAGAGGACCCATTATGACTGTGACATAGGGCAGAGATGCTATACATTCACACATTCAATAAAAATTTATGCCACTCAGTTGCAGCCCTATTAGACTCCATGTCCCCTTTTTATGATAAATATTGTCTAAACTCTCTTTTCTATCCTGGAATGAAAGAAATTCAAAGCTTGTAGAACCTATTTGCACATTTAATTTAAAAATATCAACATAACTCTCTAACTGCAATACAAAGGAGAATTAAAAAGAAAGTAATTTATAATAAAATAACATATATTTCAATATGTCCATACTCTGGTATCTACATTAGAAGTCATTATGAAATAGCACGTGTTTTTTAATTCACAAAATCACTATGAATGGGGCAGCTACAAATGAAGGTTGATACAGGTGGCAACTTAAATGCTATAAGATACTTTAAGCAGTGTTGTCATTGACGACATAATTTTCTAAAATAGCGAATAACTCCAGTAAAACAAAACACATAGTGGTTCAGCTTTCCCTTTCACGGTTTTTGTTGTCCTGGATAATCTGGTCTATATTAAAACCTTGCTAAAATATGGTGTGTCTATATGTAAGATGGAGTTTGGTTTAGATTTAAGAAGTCATAAATAGGTCTTTCACTTATTTTTTTCAGCAAATGTTTTTGTGGGCCTGCTGTGTGTCTGGCACTGGTCTAGCTACGGGGGGTGGCCGGCGGGGGCAAGGGGAGGGGATGACACAGATCTTAATACTTGCCAAGAATAAGGTTACTCAACATATATTACTACAGAGCTCACTCTCCGCCTTTGTTCAAAATGTCACCTTCCAATACAGCTTTTCACAACCACCCTATTTAAAATTTTAACAATCATCCCATACTCCACATTCCCATTCCCTGCTGTAATTTTCTTCATATAATTGATCATATCCTTAAATATTTTTTTCTCTCTAAGTGTCTTACTGTCTCCCCTGAGCAGAATGTAAGATCCATGAACACATATTTCCATCTGTTTTGCTCTCTGTTGTATTCCATCTAGAACAAAGGCTGGCATATAATAGGTATTCAATAATTATTTCTTAATGAATAAATTAGAGAAGTTTTTTTATTATTATTAAAGAAGTTTTTATAAAGTGTTAAGGGCTATAAAAATGATAGTTTTTGTCCCCCCAAGGCAGGGTTTCTCCCAGTCTCCCGCAACCCCCTGGTCACACTTTGTAATTGAGAGTCCCCCAAGATGAAAGTTCCTAGAGGCCAAGAACAGAGAGGTCCTCACAATGAGAGTTTCTAGGACAACCTACCTGGGCCAAGAGAACAAGAACCAAATGGGGAGAGGCTGGAGGTGGTAGAAGGTTGTGTCCTGTGATCCCCCTACCCAGTGCAGTCCCTGGAAGAAGAACGCTTGCTGCACCGTCAACACCAGCCAGGAGCTGCACAAGGATACCTCCCGCCTGTATAACTTTAACTGGGACCACTGCAGCAAGATGGAGCCTCGCTGTAAGCGCCACTTCATTCAGGACACCTGTCTCTATGAGTGCTCCCCCAACCTGGGGCCCTGGATCCGGCAGGTATGGGTGTCTCCCTCACCCCACCCCAGTAGGCTGCCCTCCAGCTCAGTCAAGGCCATGGCTGCCAAAACACCTGGCTGAGAGAAGCCTTCCATCTGCACCTCCCACCCAGGTGAACCAGAGCTGGCGCAAAGAACGTTTCCTGGATGTGCCCCTGTGCAAAGACGACTGTCAGAGCTGGTGGGAAGACTGTTGCACCTCCTACACCTGCAAGAGCAACTGGCACAAGGGCTGGAACTGGACCTCAGGTGAGGGCTGTTGGGTGGGGAAATGGAGGTGGGGTTTGGAGAAAGGGAGGTTGAGGATTTGGGACTGGGTGAGGATTTCTGGGGTAGCCAGAAATGAGCTTTGGGCCCAAGGGCTGAAGGTCTGTGTCCCCATGCAGGATCTAACAAGTGTCCAGCTGGGGCCGTCTGCCGCACATTTGAGTCCTACTTCCCCACGCCTGCAGCCCTGTGTGAGGGCCTCTGGAGTCACTCCTACAAGGTCAGCCAACACAGCCGAGGGAGTGGCCGCTGCATCCAGATGTGGTTTGACCCAGACCAGGGCAACCCCAACGAGGAGGTGGCGAGGTTCTATGCCATGCATGCTGGGGCCGTGCGCCATGGGATTGGGCCTCTCCTGCTCAGCCTGGCCCTGATGCTGACACCCCTGCTCCATGGCTGAGTCCAGCCCTCCCTAGACGTCCCCTCTGCCAGTCCCCAGGTTTGATGACCAGGCTGGGCTCAACTCAGTTCCACAAATGAGGGAGTCCTAAGAATATCTCCATCCATTATCCATCCCTCTGTCATTTGGTTCCTGCTCTATGGCGAGGCTTGCAGTTTCTCTGACAGCCAGTTATAATAAAGACATGGACACATCTGTCTCTGATAATTATTTTGGTTGTGAGTTTGTGGGTGGATAGAGGGTTTGAATCCCAGCTCTGCTGCTCACTATGTGTAAGGAAATAGTTGCTTGACTGTTTTCAACCTTAGTTTCTTCCTCATTAAAGCGGGGCAAATAATCCTTCCTTCCCTCAGTGTTGTAAAATATAAAGGAGCTGTTGCCTAGAAAGCATGAGCCCAGTGTGTGCACATTAACAGTCCTCAGGAATCCTGTTGCTCTTGTAGCTCCAAGTGAGAGCCAGGTCCAGGAAGTCATTATTTATATTGGTCCCCAAATATCCCCTTTCCCCCAGGCCTTGTCTGCCTGGCTCTGTGCTCAGTTCTGCAGGGAGAAAGCTGAGGATGGGAGTCAAGGGAAGGCTCTGGGTTCCCAGTGAGCGGTTTTAAAAAATTCACACATGATGTGGATTAAAGGGGCAAAGTTGGGGCTTGGGACCCTCAGAGGAGGAAGAGAGCCAGTGGGGAGGGCAGTCTGGGAGTTTCCTGGAGAGGAAATACTCAAGAGCCTTGAACAGGTTCAGCCCTGCTGTGTCCTGGAGGTGTGGCTGGAAGAGGGATGGAAACTCTTACCTTTGTCCCTTCCTGGGAATGGTAGGTATGTCTTTCCTGGAGGGTTGTTCTGTCTTTGCACAGCACCCAGGAACTGGGCCTGAGCTGTTGACCTCTGGGTCTCTCACTTCCTCTTTCCTCTTGGGGAAGTCTTTCTCTCCACACTCTGACTACAGTTATCCCAGAGAGGCATGGGTAAGTGTCTGAGAGCACTATGCAAGTGGGTGATCCAGCTAGAACTAGAATAAGGTGTGAAGACTCCTAGCCCAGGTCTCTCCACTTCGCACCAGGCTGCCCCCTCCTGGCCGACTCACCTTAGTATGAGATACTAAGACTGATGGGAGAAGTTGGGCACAGATTAGATGAGTTATTGGGTTTCTATAGGGGCCTGGAGACATTGTTGGGTGTTTGGGAGGGTCTGTTAGTCATTATATTTATTTAGTCTGGACGGCCCCACAGAACGCCCTCCACATCCCAGTCTTTATCCAGCTCCAGCTGGATTAAGTCAATGCGTATTTGAAACTGAGTAAGGAGCTCGTCGGGAATGACCCAGACACAGACTCAATTCAGCCAAGTGTAAGTTCTGTCCCAGGTTAAAGGAAATCCTCCGACAGCATCCCAGGAGTTGGCAGCAGAGGAAGCCAGGCTGGAAACCTGCGCCTTTAAGGAGCTAGGGGGTGGAGGGGCGGGGCAGGAAGCGGACTCCCGGGAGACGCAGCCACCGGCTAGGTCTTTTTTGGGAAGGGGCGGGGTGGTCCCTCCTATAGGCTCCGCCCCCTTGCCGACCGCCTTGTAGTTGTCCGGCACTCCGCTGGAGAGGGGTTTTTGGGGCGTCCGAGCAGACCAGGTCTGGGGAGCTCCCCACTCGGCTTCCCGCTTACAAAGGCTCAAGTTTGTTGACTTGGCGGGAGTAGCTGGGGCGGGGACGGGTGCTAATAATACCCGTCCATGCTGCCGCTGCGCTTTACAGTTTACACAGCTGTCACCTTCGGTACTCCTTAATTAATAATAAAAATAGCCGCCGTTCGGGAGCGCCTACTGAATGCCAGGCCCTGTGCGGAGAGCTTTACAAGCACAGTCCCATTGAGCCTGCCCTCATAACATCCCCATTTTACAGAGCGGGAAGGCAAGGCTCGGATTAGTGCCGTGACTTGCCCAAGGTCACTCGGCGGGTCAGTGGGTTCGGGAAAAGGGACGCGGGGCCAGGGGAGGCGGGGCGCGGGTGCCCCCCGGCTCCGCTGAGAGCCGCGGGGGCGGAGCAGCGGGCGGGGCGGAAGGCGAGGGGGGGTGCAGCGGCAGACGATGGCCATCTTAAGTGGCCGCTGAGAGTCTAGGGCCGCTTCCCCCGGGAAGGGGACATCGGAGCGGCCCAGGAGGTGGGGGGATCGGCGTGCGGCGGCCGCGGCTCTGGGGAGAGGTCGGCAGCCCAGGGGCTGGAGGGAACTTTCTTCTGGACGGGTTAGGGAGGCCTGGTCTCGGACTGCTGAACCCCTCAAGGCCCGGGCCTGCGGGTATGGGGGATGGTGCCAGGGAACTTGGCCAAGAGGGAGGAAAGGCTCTGCCCGGGCTGAGAGGGGCTGCCAGGGACAGTGCTTTGGGATTTGAGGACACTAGACCTCGTCTGGGGGTTAGTGGGGGATCTAATCTCTACGGAGGGGATCCCCCACGGGATTTGTCGGGGGTTGGACCCAGTGGAGTCTGGGGGTTCAGGTCTAAGGGGGGCTGGATTTGACGGGAGTTGGGGGCCCGGGCGCAGTAATGGGACGGAAGTTCACCATAGGGTCCTTCGTGGGTTTTGGGAACTCGATTCTGCGAGGCTGTAGGGAGGCCGAATGGAAAGGATTTGGGTGTAATCAGACGTCTATGGGAGTTGGGGGTCATATTGCGAGTATTGAAGGGGACTCATTCTCAGGGAAGGGGGACGGGATCTCGAAGTATCGGGCGCAGGGTGCGGGGACTTGGACTTCTTTGGGGCGATTGGCTGGATTTCCTCCGGGTGATGATGGCGGGGCAGGGTCATTGTGGGGTTTGGGTGGCCGGTTACCCTTGGAGTTTGGGGGGTCCCAGATCCTGCAGGAATGCGGGGTGGGGGCATCAATACCGCCGGGAAGAGATTGAGGCAGAGGCGGTCCGCGCAGTGGGCCGAGCGGAGGAGGAGGGGGCCGGCTGCCGGCTCTGCGCGCTGCTCCTCCTGCCCCTCCCCCGCCGCCTCTGAACAAACTTTTCTTTCTCTTCAAGTTGAGGCCGGCGCTGCAGGCGGCGGCGGCTGCGCGGCTAACCAGGCGGCCTGCGCGGCGGAGCGCGGAGTCGGGATCCTCGACTCGGCTGGGTCCGCTGATCCTCAGGCCTGGAGCCCGGGCCCTGTCCCAGCCTCAGCCCCCAGCGTGCCGGGGGGATGGCGCCAGGCGGTGGGCAAGGTTGGCGCTGAGCCCTGCACGGGCCATGGCCTTGGCGTGCGGGGCGCCGGGCTCAGGGGGCGCCGGCCCGGGGGGCGCGCTGGGCAGCCCGGCCCCCGCCTGGTACCACCGAGACCTGAGCCGCGCTGCCGCCGAGGAGCTGTTGGCCCGGGCAGGCCGTGATGGCAGCTTCCTGGTCCGAGACAGCGAGAGCGTGGCGGGTGCCTTCGCGCTCTGCGTCCTGTGAGTGGCGCTGGGTCTCCCCGGGCGGGGGCACGGCCTGGGGTTTCTTGAGTGTTAAGGGGATGATTTGGGACAATAGGATGCCAGCGCCCCCCAGAGTGGGGCCTTGGCTTTATGCAGAGGTCAAGGAAGGATGCAGGGAGCACTTCCTTCCTGCTGTGTGTCTGGGGGCACTTTCTGGGGCGTTGAGGTAGAGTATGTGTGGTCCCGTTGCCAGGGATGGCTGTAAGGTGGGGGAAATGCAGGGAGTCTCAGGCAGACCCCTCAGGCACCCTCCAGGTAGGAGCTGGTGGGCGGGGGTGGGGT